TGGGGCTTGAACTTCTTGCTCATGCAGGCATCTATGCCTCCATAAATTCTTGCTGGCTTATATATTTGATATTTTCGCTCAGTATTTTTGGTTGAAAAAGCAATTTGGATTGCAAGTAGCAAAAACATTGTTAAGATAACAATTTCCTTCTTCTACCAAAAATGGGTTTCGGTGCGCCTATTCTAGTGCAGTCTCCGTTAAAAAAAAATTCATCTTAGAGATGAATTGTAGACTTGAAATTTCACAGGTCGATAATATCGATCATCGTGATCATGAATTTGGAAACAGAAAAAAAAGGGACCTCAAACCTTAAAAAATATGTTGACTTTGACTTTTATTGGGACCATTTTGGACCGTTCATTTTATTCTTTTAAAAATAATATTTTTAAGTTTTTGTTTTTTTTTTTTTCAAATTTAGGATCATGGTGATCGAGATTCTTAATATGAAAGATTATTGACCTGTGAGGTTTTAGATCCCAAATCCATTTTCAAGCTGGATTATTGAAAGATGACACAATTTTAATTGCGTTTTAACTTTTTCCCTTAACTAAAGAGTGAGTAAATTGTCAAAACTAAAGGGAGAGTAAATTGTCAAATGACTAAGATATGATTGTTAACCACGTTTAGTTTTCAAAAAAAGTAAATGATGGTGCATTTAAAGTGTAAACAATGAGCAAAAGTAGGTTGGTAAACTCGTACAATAAAAGTTATTCTCCGATAAAGTCCGATTAATCATTGATCGGTTATACTTACCATAGTATACCAACGGCCGGGTTTGGTCCAGTGCTGGCCCAGCGCAGCCCTCTTTTTTCTTTTTTATTTTATTTTATTTTATTTTTCATTGTTTTAGCTCAGCGTGGCCCAAACAGAGCCAGGGTGGGGCATGGGCTGGCACTATAGGGACAAGGGCTGGCTAGGGCCAAGACCGGCCCAAAAAAGAAAATACACTCATTTAATGCATGAACCGATAAAAATCTCGTAAATGTCACTATCCGATGCAAGTTTGTTTGCCTATACGTTTCTCTGGTTCAGTCTGAATCTTAAATCTCTCCTTTTGAAGGTTTCTACTGAATCTCTTTGTTCATGTGGCTCTAAAGATGTTCTAGCCATATTTTTGCAGCCATGGCCTCTCAAAGATGACCTCTTCATCCTGAAAGTGAACCCGTATTCTGTTTATATAAGCAGTAGAGAGGTTCGTCAAAGAAGAGAGTGATACGACTTGGTGAAGCATCTATTGCTGCAACAATTTTTTATTGAAATCGAGTAATCGAAGGAAGATCTTAGCAATCTGAGGCTTTAAAAACAAGGTCCCTACTGCACATGATAGTGATCCACTGGTTTGATTAAAAAATTCGAGTTTATCTTCCAAAAATCAATTTTTATCTCTTGGGTGTTATCCTCTCTCATGTCTCAAGCTTACACAAAAGTTAATAAATCTCAGAATTATTGGTTAAATCTAATAAATTTTGAGGTTTTAAAAGGGGAATGTGGCTCTTAGAAATCTCACCATTAGCAAGCAAAACCTGAGGCCTCCTACTATTTGAATCTCATAAAACTGAGCTAATCCTTATGCAAAATGCTCTTTGCAAGAATATGTTTAACCTCAACTTCCGTTCCTACCTGTCCAGAGTTGCTGGAGATGTAGGGAGAGGGTGGAGTTGCAGAAAGTGAAAGTGAGTTAAAAAGGGTTACTCCAAAAAAAATTGAAGAAAGTAAGGATTCAAGTTCAAAACCACAGAGGGCTCTATTAAAAGTATGCTAGAATATGACTACCCTAGCACACCACCTCAGTGGTGATCATAAACTGGCCAAAATGTTGGAAGGAGGCTTAAATGAAAACAAAGGAAAAATAATTAATGAGATAAAATAATTAAAATAAATAGTAAAATAATATAACAAAAGAAGGTACCTAGAGTTTAATGATGATGAATAAGATTAAAATTTGACATTTGATCACTGAAATGGGAGATTGATCTTTGATATTGGTGGGCAGATTCTCGAGACCCAAGAAAAAAGTATATGAACTGAACTGAAGCTAAATCAGAGGAATTGAGATTGATATTCGGCGGATTTAAGCTCCGATGATGTAGAACTATGATTAAATTGTGTAGATCTAGGTTGATGTACCCTGTATCTACAATTTAAGGGTGAATAAAAGTTAGATCCAGGAATGGATGGTTTTGAATTAGATGTAGGCTAAAAAAGGCTAGATCTAGGTTTGGATGGTTCAAATTTGAAGAAATCGAACTTTCAGTGGTCATGTATGACTAGATCTGGCCTGAAGAGGACTGAAAAGTTTGTTACTGGGTGCAGGCCTAAGGAAAACATGGTCCTAAGATTGAAATCAAGGTTTCATGGCCTAACTCTAAGTTGGATGGAAGGTTATAGGGTCAGGGGTATTTTGGTTTTAAAATTCTATAAAAACTAACGGTATTTTGGAAAATGAAAACCTGAAAATTCTAGGGCTCTCTCTAGCTGGTTCTCGCTCTTTTAAACTCCTGAGAACTATTCAAAACTTTGAAAAAGTGAGGGCCAAGGGGTATTTATAGACGGTGGATTGGATATGAGATTCCAAGTGAACAGCTAGGAGTTCATGATCAAAACACGTTTGTAAGACCAAACCATTTCATGAGGTCGCCCACATAGAGGATAGTGTCGTTCTCATCATTTTGTAAGTCCTAAACACGTTCTGATAAGAAAAATATCTGGTGGCTACAAACTACAAGCAGACAGAGTACACTAAAGCATTTACATCGAAGATCATGGCTATAAATCTTTTTTCGGCCCCATTAGCTTGTGTCAACTCTTTCCTTCAAATTCTACAAAAATTCTGCACATGGCCACCCTTGTCTCAAAAATAGCATATACCACGGGTTTCTTACCCATGTCCTAATCTCTCTTTGCTTTTAGAGATTTAGTGACTTTGTTTTGTTATTTCTTCCTTCCTTCTTTTCTTCGATTTTGACTCCTTTTTTTTTATCCTTGGCTTCTTCTTTTTCGGACCTCCAATTACACGGGCTCTAGGGACCACTTGAACTCTTTCAAATCTTGGATCTAACCTCTTCTTCAATTTTCAAATGAGTGATCAATTGTTTTAAGCGCAAATCTTTCGACCAAGGCATCAATGTGTTTCTAAGTCTTTGCAAGAGGTTGGCAGCTTATGTATAGATGCCCCGACATGGAAGGGCTCATCAAATTTCATGCCATTTGATGCAAGTTCATTGCTCCTATCCAGAAATTGTGGACTTCATCCGTTACTGATCCATCCTTTGTAATCGTAAAATTGAAGTATCTATTATGAGATACTGCTTTCTTCTAACATTTTTCTCTTTTATTTTTGTTCCCAAAGCTTTCACATATCCTCTACATTGCTGAAAATCATGATTTTGGTATCTTCAAAGACCCATAACTCATTGGTATGTGAAGGTTTCGGGTGATTCTTAGTTCACATCGTTTGGAAGATCAAGCTTACGTTTATATGACATAGGAATAAAGAAAATCCGGCAAAAAGCAGGCCAAATAAGAAGAAAATGTGTAGGGAAGGTAAAATGTTGCTATTTTTAATATCCATCCACAAAAAAATAAAAATTCCTTCAAGTAATGAATTTTTTTACTCAAATTAATTGCAAAATGATCATTGCATGATTCTCTATAATACTTGTTCTTTAAAACAACGCCATTTTACAAAGGATTTATAATACTTAGCTTTTATAATCATGATGACCATATTTCTTTTTTTGTGTTCACAAGACCATTATGTGGAGATCTTTATTATTGTGGTCATCATGGATCTCATCTTCCTTTATTTCCTTTTATGGCTTGTGAGCTTCATTAATAATGGTTTTGCACGACATAAAATTGTATCATGGAACATATATTATGGCATCCTACCTTTTCTTTTAATGACATACGGAGGGTTCGGTGTTATCATCCATCTTCCTATATTTAAAGGCCTCATTTTTTTTGGAACGGTAACTTTTCTTTATTTTCTCTTTGAAAACATATTTCTCTCATATTTATTTTTAATTTTCAAATTACCTAATTCGTAATATAATTTTAATATTTTTTTTTCAAATCCAAATCATATGAAACCCAAGTCATCCAATTTGATATCTATTGAGTATGAATGATTGTAACCTCAATATACAAAAGATAAATGGTCTCTTTGTAGACAATCTCGAAATTTTAGGCATCTATTCTTCTCATCTAGGTGCATCTAATAAAAATATTTTAAAAATAATTCACAAAAATAAATTAACTAAAATACCGTTGAAATTTTCAAGAGTATTTTGGTCAATTTATATTTTATAATTTTTTTTAAAAATATTTTTATTAGAATCTCCTAAATTTAAAGAACAGACGTTTAAAATTTCAAGTTATTTGGATTTTTAGAACAAATTTAAAATTCAAATACCAAATACAATCGTGACAATTTGATAGGCCCATATTCAATTGGGCCATTGAGATTATATTGTAGCTGTTAGCTAGTGCGCTAACAATATATTTTCTCATATATATATATATATTGTGTGTGTGTGTGTGTGTGTGTGGCAGTATCATCATGGATATAGCATGTCTGTGATGGTCTTTTTTTCGCCCGGTACCGCCACGAACATAGCGCCATCAGTTGTGGCTTCGTTTGAAAAACTGCCATGGAAATGGCATGTCCGTGGTGGAGTGAAATATTTTCAAAAGCGTTTATAGGTGTTTTTAAAATTTTATATATATTAAAAAATAAAATATATAAACAAAAATGAAAAAGATGGCATATACAAAAAAAAATGTTGTTATTCAAGAATAATATAATTAAATCTTTCTTTTACAAAGCGAAGATGGACTAGAGTTTTGATAGGGAAAATAAACACACACAATGTATTTCTTGAGATCACAATAATTGCTATTAATCATGACCATATTACAAGTTCTTTTCATGGTCCCTTACAGTACTAATTTCTATTTATTCACAGAGAAAAACCCATTTCCTATCCTTACGTCAACAATGAAAACCATGAAAGATCTAAATGATGTTCACAAATTGATAGTAGTGATCCCCTCAAAACTTTTTATAATAGAGTTTGTACTTAAATACAGGTGAAAAATAAAAGCAACAAAATCTACATTCCACCACTACAAGAAGTACAAACCTTATTGATCCTAGCAATAGCAACGGTTAGAAGAAAGCACATTTGCAGAGCAGCATGACAGAAGAAAGTTAGCTGTGATTATGCAAGCTTGATGGGAGGATGCATGAATTCTCCATTCAACATGGCCTTGGCGATGAATTCATAAGCGGCTTCTGTGAGATGGATTCCATCCCAATTGACATATCGGGCCGGATTTGCGCAAGCATGGGCCCCTGGATGTCCACATCTGTCCGTGATGTTGAAATTATATGGTCCTCCGCCTCCACAACATGCCCTGAGAACGGTTTCCTTTCGGAATCCTGCATTTGTAGTCACAAAAACCGTTCCTAAATTAAGTTATGCAATTCAAAATAGAGCGATTTACATACGGACCCTAAAATTTTAGGTAAAGTACAAAGAAGGTCTATCAATCGGTTTTTTTTTTCTTTTTTTCAAAATTGACTCTCGATCAACTTAAATTTTATTTTTTATTTTAGTATTTTTGTTAGTAGGGAAGTACCTCAAGCTTTAAGGCACTGACCTACTAACGAT